CATTACTTATTTTTAATTTTTAAACATTATAATTTATATTTTAAAAAAAATTAAGTAATATGTTCTTATAATTTTGATCATCAATTTTGAATAAAGTTATTGTAATTTATTTTATTTTAATTGAGTCTTTATAGTTTGGTTTATTAGATTTGTTACTCTCTGACCTTGAATGTTTCCTTTGAAAAATAAAACTTACAACTTTTATGATTTTATCAAAACATTATATAACTTCAGAATTAATTATATTTATAACTCAATTTACTTAATTAGGATATGTTTTCCAAATAAATTTTTTGCACGTAGGTTTTTTCATAAAAGTACCCCAATTCGTGTTTTGCTTTTTTTTTTTTTGAAATAGTCCCTTGGACATTTTTAGACATTTTTAACTTATTTTTGGATAACTTAACTTTTTGGAGACTATGCTTCACTTTTAGTTACTCATTTCTATCATTTTATTAGATTCAGGAACTTGTTTTTAACGAGATCTTATTAGGTACACTTTATAAAATTTAATTTTCCATTGGTACTTAGTTGTTTATTTTATTTACTTCCTAAATTATCAAGGTAAGCCTATTTTGCTACTTTAAATTTTTTATATTATGATAGATTCTTTTTTATCAAGGTAATCCAATTCAAGAAATATTTTATTATAAAAAAAATCTTTTCTATTATGATAGCCTAATTATTACTATGGCCCACAAGGTTTTGAAATAATATATAAATTTTTTTAGGTTAAATTATACATTATTTTCTTGAATTTTGAATCACGTATATATAATTTTTTTAACTTTTAAAACTTTATAATGAACCTCCTTTAACTCTTATATTTATGTAGATAATCCTATATGATTAATTTTATATATTAATTGTCTTTACATAATCTAAATTTTAAAGAGTTATCCGTATATCAATCAAAATTTAAAGGGTTTAAATGCACATAAAAATAAAATTTAAGGAGATATATAATTAATGGTTAAAGGTTATTTGCATAAACATAAAAGCTCAATGAGATATATTATTAAGTTTTAAAAGTTAAGGAGGTAATTTGTACATGTTTTAAAGTTTACGAAATTTTTACATAATTTTACTTTTTTTTTTACTATAATAAACTTTTATTTATTATGATAATATTTTTAAAAAAATAATAAAAAGATTATGGTAGATACTTTACTATCACAATAAGTGTTCAATAGGTGATGCTGGAGTGCTAAACTATATTTTCGCCAAAAAAAATTAGTGTAATTTTTTTTAATATATACTGAAATACTGAAATCAATTATTGTAAATTTTGAGAGTATTATTTTCCGCACATCTCCCGGTGCAAATGGAGGGAAGTTCATGCGCATTTGCCGAGAGATTTCCTCCTTTCAATCTTTTCTCTTCTTGCCACGTGTATTTTATTTTTATTTTTATTTTTTAAGATTGAAATGATTGTTTTTTTACAAAAACAGTTTGATAATCTTTACCAAAAAAAAAGTATTTTGATAATAATTATGTATACCTTATATCATATAAAAAAGGAATATATATATATATATAGTTATATAATCATCTAATGGAGACTAGTGTCACGAAATCATTACTCTCTTTTCAAAAAGCTAGCTTATTAGGGTGTACAATGCACCCGCTTATATAGTTAGGACCTTTCCAAAATTCCTCCGATGTGAGACTTGACAATTGCCCTGACTAATTTGTGATGCTCCCATCACGGGTGGCCCACCAGAAGGGCCTACCGACTGGGCAAACTCGAGTCTGGCTCTGACACTATTTTATCACGAGGCCATTACTCTCTTCTCAAAAAGTTAGCTTATTAGGGTGTGCAGCGTGCTCGTTTATATAATCAGGATCCTCCCCAAGTCTCTCCAACGTGGGACCTGACACTGGGGAGTAATAACCCCGAATTTTTTAATTTTTAATTAAAATGTAAAGATTATATATTTTTTATTTCCTTAAATTGAAACATTATACAAGTTAGATATATTACTTAGTCAATTTGAGCCATTCTTCACAAAATGGTAAAAAAAAGAAAGAAAAAAGAAAAATAATACTCCTTGGCTTGAGGATATGTATATATATACAGAGCTAACCATTTCCTAGGCTCTACATGCATATATGGCTGGGAAACCAAGCAAATTAGACAAACATATATATTATAACTACATATAATTTTTATCATTTTTTTTTTCAATTTGCCAATCTGGCACACTTTTTTCGTTATTGTCAAAAACTACAAAACCAGCCATGTAAGCCAGGATTGAAAAATTTCCATCCTCCACCTCAATGACTGTGATCAGTTTGCATATGAACACATACATATAGTTTTCAGGTATCTTAACTAACAACTAATCACAACCATGTTTTAAAATCCGACTCATAAGCTCAGATCTATACGTGAATATGGCCACCACATTAAATCTCATGGATATGCTTTTATAGTATAAAGTTAATTTCCATCATATTCTGTAATTTAATTTTATAATGTTCGATATCGAGTCCATAGGAAGAAAAAAATCAAATTTCAGATATTTTCCTCGGCTTTGATTGATTAATCGCAGAGAGTCGTTTGAAGTTACTTGGCAAGTTAACATTGACGCAGACATGAAGCTTTCACATGACCGATATATTTGTTGGCGACCTCTTTTAGTGGGTCATAATGTTGCCATGACTTGCATTACGAGCGTGCGTGGAAATTGTGTTTGACTTTTATTCTAGCGCGTCTTGAACGTAATTCCAATTTGATTTCTCATTGTAACGAACGCGATTATTTCACAAAATTGTCCAAAAATAAATTATAATTTTTGCGATTCAAATTTTTTTTTGAGGAGGGTTGAGGAATAATATATATAGTTACTTACACAGTCAATCTTTCAAGTTACACTTTAAACACATTCAATCTTTCTTAAGCTTTTTTTTTTGTTTTACCATCTTTTTTAAGTTATACTTTAATCGTAATAATGCTAATGAATGTGAACTTTGAAATTCGTACGGAACTTGTACATGAATTTGCAAAAATAGACTTTAAAAAGAGGCAGGATTAAATTTAAAGAAAAAAAATGATCATAATACATTAAACATATAAAATTGAAATAAATGACTTAGCGGCCCGCTCATAATTAACATTACCGTTAAATACTTCATATAATAAAATGGCATACCACCTATTAGATATTAACATTACCGTTAAATACTTCATATAATAAAATGGCATACCACCTATTAGATATTGTATATAGTTATTCAATTATGGTTGTTTTTGGATTTCGATTGAAAAAAATTGATTATTAGAATATGATGATGTTTAGATAAATTTTCAGAAATTAATTATGATAAAGTTGATGATGTTTGAATAATTTTTTTCAGAATCAATTTTAAGTGAGTAATTATACTATTCAACATGATAAGCTAATAATATTTAGAATTAATTTTTTAAAATGGAATAAATTTTAGCTTATCCCAAATAGAGTTTTGGAAACCAAATAAAATTTGAGAAAATTGGGGTGTTTGGATAAAATTTTTCAAAATCATAGTTTTAAGCCTAATATTGATTTTAAAAGGGCATCCAAACAGGCCCTATATATTTATATTTGTTCTATTAAAAAATATAAGATATTTTTAATTAAATTTACTTTCAATAAAATAGTTAATTATTTGCAAACTAATGTTATCTTTTTATATTTATCATTTTCAATAGAGCATTTCAATTTAAAATAATTTATTTATTATGTGCACTTAAAAAAAAACAAGAAACGCATTAATATAAAGATGTGTTTCCTTTCATTGTCCTTTAATTTTAATTTGTATGATGTAGTTTTTTTTTTAGCAAACTAGACCATTTTATTAATATAAAAAAATTGGTCCCAAAAAAAAAAAACAGGGCAAGTACACCACATTCTTGTCTCTGCAAAAAGATAGTGCAGATAAAAATTTGAGTGCAGTGGAGGCATATGGGTGAAGAATTCTGCTAATGTCTTGGCAGCACCCAACATAAAACAGTCACTTCCAAACACATTGAAAACAAGTATAGATAGAACAGCCCGTTTCAGGCACGGATCAACATCCACCGCCGCCACAACCTCCTCCACCACCGCAAGCTCCGCCTCCACCACAAGCACCACCACCTCCGTAAATCCCAAAAGTTACGGCACCGGTCATCAAGATCATGCCACCACCGCCTATACTAGTTTTATATCGGTGACGCGGTTGGGGACGACGGCGAGCACGTGGTTGAGCCTTGTTGGTTTTGTGGGCAGCTCGAGCCTTTGTTTCATCTTTCTTTGTGTTGTCATCTACGGAAAAACTGCACCCCATTGCTTTATGAAGTGAATTGAATGTTGGATGTGAATTATCTCTATTTGTGCGCGCGCCTATATATAATGAACCCCTTCTAGCTCGGAAATTGCCAAGAAGAATGATCTTAAACTTCTACACCACTGTTTATTAATTTCTATGATATTACATGGAAAGTTCCTTATTTATCAATTAATTATCAATCAATTAGCTATTAACTATCAACTAACTACATACTCTCTCCGATTCTTATTATAGAACACTTTTAACAGTTTCATGCATATTAAATAAAATTAATTTTTTTATATCATAAGAAAAATGATATGTGCTTTCACTTTTATCTTTAGTTTTAAATAATAATATAATTATATTAAATACTTTTACCTTAATAAAAAAGGAATAAAATTGAAAAAATAATTTAACTATTATAAAGTGTCCATTAAAAATTATTTTTAAAAATTAACTTATAAATAAGATTGGTGGGATATTATACAAATCCTGTGGGATTCAATTTGATTGGCCAGATTTTAATTATCTTTGATTGGTTGATTCACTTTGGCCAAATTTTATTTCTATTCACTCACTGGTTAGAGCACTTTGATCCAAGGAAGATTCTATATTCTCATCAAGTCTCTCTCTTGGGTTTATACGTATTATGTGTTCTACACACTCTCTCTCTCTCTTTCAAATTGGGTATTAATGATAGCGATTTTCAATGGAGCGTTAACTTTTATCGCCATTCTCTGTTATGCTTCTTTGTAATTCCCGTCTTTCCTCATCTCCTCTGTCTAACTGTTTCATTTACTGCATTTGTATCTAAAATACCATTCCATTTCTTCGTCATTTCCTTTGGGTCCTTTTCTGCAATTCCTCCTCCCATGACGGGTGAGTATACACTCTTTCGTTTCTTGCTTGCTGCTAGGTTTTTTCTTAGTTTGTTTTTCCTTTGAGTTTTTAGAAGATTGAGTTTTTGGTTGAGTAACAGAAGGGGATTATGGCTTATATTGCAGGTTGTATTTTGGTGGGGTGATGAGTTTGGCACAAGGATTCCAATATCTCCGACGATGATGCCTTTGGTCGACTCTACGCCCGCATTTTGATCTCAATTAGGCTGTTATTACTCAGATTCGGGCATCCTACTTCGAGAATACCAAACTCAAACGGAAAACCATCCGGCAACGGAACCTCCTCTCGGAAATTCCTCGTCGTTATATCCAACGTAATGCTTTCGGGATCCCCTGATTTCAGATTCCGAACTAACCAATAAAGAGCGTCGTTCGAGATCGAAAATCTTCCTCTATCGGTTGTGTTGGAGATCCCCTGATTTCATATTCCGGCTCCAGGTTTCTTCTTCTTCTTCTTCTTCTTTCACTTATTTTGGTATTCGTGGCTGCTTACGATTTTATACAATTTTCTATTTGAGCAAAAGCTGAGCAAATTGAGTTCAGTGGTGGTGAGCTTTATTTGGCAGATCTAAAGAATGTGATATCGAGGATGAAGAAATGTACAATGGTAACATCCGGATCAACGAGTGGGGATGATAATCAGGCTATGGGAATTTGTGCTGGAACTCTGATTGGCTATTCTCTGGCGCAACATTTGGAGAAGATTTCTAAATCTTGAAGAGGTTTCTGTTTCCAAATGTTGTGAACTGGTATTTTTTTTCCTTCGTGTTTCTTATTTCGTTTTAATCTTTTTTCATTGTCTCTTTCTTGGTTTTATACGTATGGTCAGAAGGGGAGGAAAAATGCCAAAGTTCAAGACCTCTCTTTGAATGACTACGTCTTCATCCTCAATCGCCTTATCCATATGCCTGAAGATGTAGAAATGCTTGCTCAGAATGGGATTATCAAATCAAAGTTACCAGGTAATCAAGTGGTGGCTTTTGTCATCAACAAGCTCTCTCCAGGAATAACTCTGATCAGATTCAATTTCCACTTCTCATTTGTGCAAGGAGCTGAATGATTACTAGAGCCCCTTGGCGTAAGAGGATAGCCAAGCAGAGTTAGAGCGTAAAACCAATCAATTGACAATTCAAATAGATACTTGAAGCAGAAACTGAAAATAAATAAATTCTGCATTATAGTCTGCATGGATGCATTACTCTTAAAAAAGTTTCAGGCTGCCGCGTCTGTTGTAGTGTTGAACTCTTTCTTCTTTTTTTCTTTTTCTTTGTTTTTTTTTTAGTAGACGCCTGAAATATCCTTCAGGAGAGACTATCTCTAATTTCCCTTAGGATTGACAAAGAGTAAATCCCGCCCAATTAGGTAGTGGGTCTGCTTGAAATACATTCATGATTTCATCATCAGCATTTTCGGATGCATTAATTAAAAAAACTGGAGGATGAAAGGATCCGAGGTTTGAATCTAAAGACATCTGCAGCCATCTTGCCTTCTTAAATGGCCATTGAAGGCATCTTACTTGGCTAAAGGGACATCCCTCTCATCAAGTGACTCAATGCCTTAGGTGTGCCTGTTGGCATTTTTAAGTTTATCAGGTCTAGGAATTTGGCGGATGCAAATGATTCTAGAAAAGTTTAGAGAAATTTACCATAAGATGCTGGAACGACACTTAGTTGAAAACACAAGGCAGCAAAAGGAAATGGAATAATTGAGCCTCATCACATGGATATTTGTGATGATTTTTAATGTCCCATTTGATGTAGAGAAATGTTTACGATGAAAGTAAAAATAAAAATGAAAATAGAGGTAGAAATGAAGATAAGATTTAAAAATGTGTTTGTTATATAGATAAAAGTGGGATAAAAATATTATTTAATATATGTATTAATACTTTAAAAAGACCTTAATACCCATGATTTTTTTTAAAAAAAATCGCCGTCGTCTTGCAGCCATCGGCTTCTCAATTTATTGTTAATTCAAAAGCACAAAGTTGCAGAGAAATCCTGCAATCCAAAAGCACAACTACTCATCCCAAATCCTTGCGCACGCATGGATTGTAGCATCACCATTAATTGTAAACTGATATAATATTTCAATGACCATCGAAAAACAAATGAATAACGATTGCAAAAACCCAAAGGAGCTGATGTCGATGGAGATATGAGAAATACAATGGATGGGGCTTGAAGAAAGGGGGTGGCGATGGCAAAATCTAAGGGAGATGTCGCTGATTTGCTGTGTGGAATCGTGAAGCTTTGGCCTTCAAATCAAAAACCCATGGTTATTGCGGCGTCGCACCCAGAAAATGAGGAAGCGACCGATCTGGTTTCGCACCATCCCAAGGTCATCGTCCTCTCCATCATCCTGGGCATCAATGAGAGTTGAAAGTGGAAGTGAAGGAGAGGAAGGAGGAAGATATGACGAGGAAGGAAGGAGAGGAAAGCAAGAGAAGAAGATGAAGCAAGAGTTGATGTCGGTCAGGTACACGGAAGGGAGGGACAAAAGTGTCATTTTACGGGCAGTTTCATGAGGGTTGGCCCAGTTCCACAGTTCCATCGATTTTGATGGAAGTCACTTGCACAGAGAAGCCTGTTCCACACTACCAAACAAGCACAAATTTCAATTAATTCTACTTCTACTAAGTGTTTTTAAAATCAAATTCGACCAGATGGTTGGAGTCCTGGTCAGTCCGATCCAATCATCAATCGATCTAAATTTTAATTTAATTTTTCTAAAAAAATTATTTTTAAGAATTGAGTCGGGTTGGGTTGTTTTGAACTGAAAATCAGATCGGAAACCGGTTTTTAAAAATTGGACTGTTTAAATTTTTTTTATTTTTTATCAAATTTTTAAAAAATAACTAATTTTTTAATCATTTAATATTATGTTGTATTATGTAACTTGTTAAGTCATGATAAACTTGAAATATTTAATTTTTTTAAGTTACATAATAATTTCATATGTATTTCTTATATATAAATTATTATATACATATATAATTTTTTAATTTAATTATAATGTCACCGGTTTGATCATTGGTTCCACCTGATTGAACCATGCGAACCGTGAACTATTGATTTTTTCAGTTCAATATCCAATCCGATTCTAAAAACATTGTTTCTACTTCTCTCTCCCTAGTTTTATTATACCAAACAAGCCATAAGTTTTGTCATTTTCTTAACTTTCTTGATGATTGAAATATCACTCTATTGACATGTGAAGTAGTGACTTGTATCTTTCAATTGTCATGCTAAACCTGCTAATAGAGGCAAATAAAAGAGAAATTTGGTGAAAATGACCTCGTTGAAAGAAAAATTGGTCCTAAAGACCAAATGTATGTGAAGGATCATTCTGAATAAAATATTTATAAAACAATCTAACCAAGTGATTAAAATGCCCCTCCTTTATGAGACAATATTTGGAGAGACAATTTTCGACATAAGGAGTGGGTTGCGACTTAGACCACGAAATGGTTGTGACTTGAACCCTTCATCTCTTTGTGTGCAACTACGTGTGACCACCATTGTATGACTCTTCTTTCAAAGGACTTTGACTCCTCTCTTCACGTGTTCTTTGACTCTATTGTGTGACTGTGCGTTCATGTCTAAATTCAAATAGGCATTCATGAAAATGAAGGGTGTTAAGTTTCTACAATCAATTTATGACATGCAAATAATCTAAATGGTCATAAATAACTAATATATTATAAAGAAATTGTATATGTTTTAAATAATTTGTTGAAATAGTCATAACTAACTAAATTAACTTCATGTAATACATAATTGATAGTAATTTATGATACTTTGGCATTAATTTATATATGTACCTTGGCATAAGAATCAAAATGTATCATCCATGATCTTCTCTAACTATATGTTATTTAATTTAATTATGCATTTATAATTTTACAAAAAAAAAAAGCAGTCTTGCATATAGGGTGTATGAATCATTGTTGAATATTTATATATACTATTTTCATATACCTTCATTATTGATTTGCCAATTTTCAAGAAATTTATCAACTCCAAATGCCAAGCTCAATCATTCCTGTTGTAACTTAATGGTACTAGATTGGCGGAAAGAGCAACAATAATGGGTGAAAGCAAAAATTATGCATAAATACTAACACTCAAGAATAACAATAATACATAATGTGAAGGAAAGAATAAATGGGATGTCATGGATGTGTTCAAACTAAAAGTCCAAAATAGAATTAATTCATTTATCAACAATGAAACTCAAGTAGATCTTATATTTAAAACTAAAAATTCAATAAACGCACCAGATCTGAGGATGAAAAGGAGAACGATGGATTTGAGGCAGCATGGATCTGGGTTGAAGAAAACAACAGCGGTGGAAATTTGAGGCAAAGTTGGGACAAAGATTTGGGTGGAGATATGGGTTGAGGCATCAAGTATCTTGCAGTCGCGTTGTGTGGAGGTGTGAAGGGGACGCGGAGGAGTGATCGAGGTCGTGGAGTTGGAGGCGTGAAGCTGTGGTCGACTACTCTCAGGTTTGTGTGGCTCTGTGCAGCGGAAGGTTGGCAGGGAAAGTGAAAAATGAATTTCAAAATTGTGTGTCCGGTCCTGAAGCAGTGAAGTTGAAGGCTGAAATTGAAGACCAATCTAAAGACTAAATAATGGTCAAATTTTAAAAATAATAATAATAGACTTAATATAAACAGGATGATACGGGACATCATGATGGTGAGTTCAAGTTCAATCCTGTCCCATCCTTATTTTGGTCATATCTTGCAAAAGTCTTGTTTCGATTATTTTTGGATCAAGATAGAACCGTTCTAACATGATCGAGACAAGTATAAGCCAGTCGGGCTGAGTAAAACCTAAGCACCCCTACTCCTTATAATTCAGTTACCTTCCTCCTAGATGTCCAAATACATAACAGTCAGCGTATAACACGCCTCCAACTCCTGACTTCGAGATAGTGTTTGACAAGAAAAAGTATTTAAAATAGTTAATATCTATATTGATCAACACATGAAAAGTTAAACCATAACCTTCCCATTTCCCCCATCATTTTTATTAAATGAATCGTCATGTCCAAGAATTTATTTAGAAAATAAAGGAACATTAAGAGCAATATGAGATTTTTAAAATGTTGATGTCTACGATACACATTGTTATGATTCAATGTGTTTCATGATCAATTTGATTTTTTTTATTTGACATAAGAAATTCTTTCTGTTCTTTTTTTAGTACATCATCGTGTCACTGAAACATGATGCTTCCCTACCAGTGCAATGTTGTTATTCTTTTCTATTCTCAATTATTAGTTAAATTGGATTTTTGTAAATTTCATTATTTACATTACTTTTTATAATTTCCTGTTTATTATTTATAAATTCTTGCGAATTTATTAATAAAAGCTTCAGCTTGAAGTATTAGCTAGAGTTATGTTTAAAAAGAACCAGTCGATCTTTAAGGCTCTAAGCTTATAAGCCTTCGTAAACTTATAAGTGAGTTGGTCTTAGGAGCTTACCAAGTTTATGACATATTTTGAAGTTCAAAGGCTGCTCTTTATTTTTCTCAAATCCAATTCTAATTAATAGGGCTCAGGGTTAAGCCAAAAAACCGTATGCATTTTTTAATTTTTTATTTAAGTTTCTAATTATAATAATTCATACATAAACTCTAAAAGGCTATAAATAAATGTCTAAAAGATCAAATAAAAGTCCAAAGCCTAAACAAAATAATACAAATACAAAAATAAAACATAAACAATACATGTCTAAATTATAGTCATCCAAAATATAAATATTCTTTGGTCCATAATATTACAATGCACAAATAACTCTATTAAAGCCACTAGAAAATGAAGCAAAACAACATTTTCAACAAAACAATCCAACATAGCAAACATAAACGTCACAATCAGAGTGTCAGACATAGCAGTTATATCCTGTATTTAGAAATCCAAAAATATACCCTAAGACAATATAAAAATTTGACAATCGGACATGGTAACAAAAACAACTCTCAAGTCCAACATGGTCCATCAAGGCTAACATGAACCTGAGCTTGTTTTTACGGGTTTTCTAGGACTGAACCCAAAAGCCTTTTATATTATAATTCCACATTTTTCAAAGCCTAAATCTCAAAAAATATAAGACTTAAATGGAAAGCCTAACAAACCAGACTCATATTAACCATTCTAGCATATATAGAAAAAATAAATTATTATCTCTTCCACGATGCACACGTGTATTTAGCTCTTTAGAGTGTATTTGGTTAAATGTTATGCTTTTGGTGGAGAGAGGAGGGAAGTTATTCCCCTTCCCTTATTTGGTTAGTATTTAATAAAGGAAAAAGAAATAGAAGCCCCTTGTTTGATTAAACAATTAAAGGAAAA